TTTTCCCTAGAACCGTCACTCTGATACCATAAAATGTAACGCCCTGTGTATACCCGGTTTGTTAACATATCATCGTATTAAGCTGCGCTTAATTAAAAATTGTGGAATATCTTTTTCTTTTCAATTATGACGTCATTATACTTAGCCAAGTTGATTACTTAATCAATTTCATAAAAAATACATCGCTTATATGTAAATGCAAATAGAAATCTAACTGAAATACCTCAAATATATATATAAAGTGAGTATCTAAGTCACGGCATTACAACACGTAATCCGGACAATATCCTTATACATTATTACAACTCCAAATAAAACAAGACAATAATCAAGTCTATGTGGCATGGACAATCCCCATGCTCACCAAAGCAACATCATAACAACAGCGTCTCAACAAGATAATCCATAATAAAAAATGAAGCTAAAAGCATACTAGCTACAAGCATAACCAGCATCCCACAAGTCATCATAAAAATCAGCAATATCTAACTCAACTCCGGCCACCTGCCGCCTGAGGTCTCACTCCCAACATTACCTGAACCTGAAATGGTGCCCCAAACGTGGGGTGAGATCTCTAAACAGAAATCTCAGCAAGACAAGGGGTCCTCAAGGATCTTCCACCCCAAGCTCACTTACATATGCAATATAAGTTCAAAAACAGTAATTTCCAATCTAGGTTCCAAATCTATGGAGTGCAGCAGATATTCATGACATGTGTGTTTAAACTATTCTACTGGCCAGAGAAATGCAGGAATACGTCTATTACCTACAGATAGTACAAGGAACACCACTTGCACCTCACCCACAGCCTCACCATATTGTATGTACTACATACTCAGGCTTATCGTATAGGTGGAACACCACATGCATATCATAAAGGCACTAGCATATAACAGCTCAAAAGCATTTCCAAAACATTAAAAGCATGTAACACAGCATGCATATAACCATACCCCCATGGGACATGGTGGAACCACAACATGGCTAAATCGAGGACACGAAAGCTTACCTTGCAAGCTCACTATCCAATGCCAAGAGTCCACACAGCTCAAGTCCAACACACAGCAGATCACAATCTGATTAGGACCAGCAAGCATATCAACACTCATAGCTCATAAACATAAACATAAAGACTATGTTTTCCTATTACGGTTTACGTCTTTAGTCTTCTCACAAGTCACAAGCCCTAAAACACTTAGGTTCTGACTTAGATAATAAAAACATAAGTTCAACTTCAACAAACTAGGGTCCACAAACCCCCAATAACCTACTGTATGACAATGCAGCTACTGTTCTTCGAAATCTCAGAATATCTGGATATAAGTCGGGGACATATCCGGATATCAATATCCGGATATCATATCCGGATATGCATATCCGGATATCATATTCAGATATCCGAAAAACCCATATTCGGATATCAATATTCGGATACCCATATCCGAATATCAATATCCGGATATTCACAACCAAATATCCGGATATTTCGCGACAGAACCCAGATTCTGCATTTTGCGAAAATCCAAACCAAAGGTCCAACTTTTACCGATTACAGAAGCTTAAACATGCATTTCTAAGTGTGTTAAGCATTACGCAACATAAGGTTATCATCTTAAGCTCATTACATGCATCAAGGTTCTATTTTTAACCAATTAGACTCAAAATCAAAGGTGATGAAGCTTACCAAAGCTTAAACTCAGTAAAAGGAAGGGAAATGGAGCTTCCTACACCACTCAACTGTGCAGCAACTGATAGCGACACGGTAAGTGCGCCAGTCGTAAAGTAATAAAGTGTACCGGAGTACGAGATCGTTCCCACGAGGATCAGAATTTTCAAACACTAGTTCGCTAATTGCGTCTTAGTTGGACAATCAAAAGTTGGGTTTGAGAGAATAGTGAATTTAGATGAAAATAGTTGTGGTTCAAAGAACTTAAAATTAAAAACAAGTAAAAGCATGCAATATGAAAATTCAGAATTGAAAGAATGAATGAAGATGATGTTTGATTGAAATTTAAACAAGCGTAGTTAAGGTTTCGACTTCCCCGAATATCCTCAATATCTTATGAATTAAAAAGCCAAGAATCTGTTTCTTAATATATTTCCAATCAATTCTATCTGAGTTAATTACGGCTTAATTCCTTGTTACCATAAATCTATGTAATCTTGAAAGAACTCTAGTTTCTCGATTATTCTCCCAAGAAAACATGCATTAAGATCAAGAATTACAAGATTGCATAATTACCCTATGTCTATTCCTATTCCTATTCCTAGATAACAAGGATTATGATAAATTATCAAGTCAAGGTCCATGCACCAACATCCCTATTGTCATACAATTCCCCAAAATCATTCTATAAGGAGCAAACTCATAGAAAGCATTAAAGACAGATAATTTATTCAATTATAAAAAGAACAGGATTCAGAAACAATTTAATTCATAAACATAATGGTTCAATTGGGTTCCATCTACCCTTAACTACATAAAAGACTACTCTAGCACACTGAATTGAAAAGAAATAATAAAGAAAAGAGAACCCCAAGCCTCCATTGGTGTGATGTCGACTTGGTTCCTCAGTGTTCTAGTGCTCCGCATTAGGATTCCTCCTTGGAGTATGAATGGGGATGAATGAATTGGTGAATGTATTTCTGAATTGTGTATTGGTTTGTGCTCCCAAGCTCCTTATTTATAACCACAGGAGTTGTATCCATCATCTAATCTTCCAATGAATCCATACAAGATTTGTATTTGATTTCATCTTTGTTTCCTTTTTCATGTAAAATCTTAGAGATTTGGTTGATGAATTAGAGGTTTAAATCTTCGTTGTATCTTGCTTTAATCTTCTCAGGAATCATCTTGATTTGTTTCCGTTTTAGTTCTGTATCCTATCTGAACAAATTTTCTTTAAATCTTCATGGAATCTATTGCGTATCTTGATCAAATTTTCCTTTGACCCTTCAGTAGCTCTTGGGTGGATTTTTGCTATTGAATTCCTTGTTGTTGTCTGTCTTAGCACGTTTTGGCGTCCAGTAGCATGCAAAACGTGCTGTTCGAAGGGTTTTTGGATGCTTTGTGGACGTTTTAGCGTGAATTAGCACGCCAAAACGTGTTCTTCCAGAGGTGAATACTTGAATTCTTGCCTTCTTGTGACTTCATCTTCACTTGATGTCTTCCTTTGGTTCCAAATTGCCATAATAAGTGTTAAAAACCTTGTAATTCAACATTACGACAACATGTTAGCAAGATATTCAATTACTGTAACTTTTACAGCATAAAACCCTAATTTCCATGCAATTCACAACATTTATCAATCAGAATTAAGCCTAAAAACATGGTAAACTAAGGGTTTATCAACGATTCCCAGATTTGAACATTGTTGTCCTCAGCAATGCACTAGAATAAACTCAAGGGATTAGGAAGTAGGAATCTCAAAAGCATGGAATTTGGCAGGAATTATTCAATCAGAGACATGATTACAGAGCATTCAGATTCTAAAAATTAACGCATCAATCAACAAAATTCATAATTCATCAGTAAAAATATGCAACAACTTTCTTAAGATAAAGAATAAGGAAAATTTCCCGAAACACTCCTTCACTAGGATTTTAATTCACTCACACTCAACTGTTTAGAGGGTTGGTGTTTCACTCGAATCCCTATTGAATCAATACTACCACAGGCTTGATTATATTCTCGCTTTCCATAGTATTGTGACATATCTCACATATCAAGAAGTCTTTCTTAGGTTATAACTTGGCCTGGCTAAAGGAAGGAAAATTTAGAGAAGGAGCTGCAAGATTAAAATTAGATTTTCTTGAAGAGGAACTTATGCATTTGTTTACATTTGTAAACAACTTTCTTTCTTCTTACTTCAGTCCTTTCTTTTTCTTTTTCTTTTGAACTTTTTTTTTCTTGTCTGTCGTTCTCTTTTCTCAGAACAATTTTTTTTTTCTTTTCACTTTGGGCTTTGCCCTTTTGCTTCTACTTCTTTATTCCGTTGAACACTTGCATAGTTGAAACTCATATCCACTCTTTACTTGAAATCTGAAATTAATCTGCTATTAAGGTGAGGATTCAATTGGGGAAGTGGGTATTCATATTCAAGGGTTCTTCATGAATAAAAAGTTTAGGCTCAAGGGGGCTTTACTAAGGAATATCATCAAGGATTGGCTATTTGGCCATCTAGTTTTAAGAAAGAACATGCCTCAATCATATCTATAAAATATATCACATACCAATTCAAGTAAGAAACAAAGCAAGTTCTAGAGTCTTTCATACAGTGGGATGCACACTCTATAATTTTTTTTTTTGTATAGGCTCAAAACCTTACGGCTATGAATGCACAGTAATTTCCCTATTCATCACTTAAGAGAATATTCAATGAATCATGAAAATCATTGCATTGATGTTCATTATGAAAATTTAAGTATGTTCATCATCATGCTCTGGATCAATTACTGATTAAAAATTCCCGTCATTTTTCCATTTAAAAACACTGAGTAATACTTTCAACTTTTCACAAAATAGTGGCTTGGGGTTTTCAAAACAAACTAAAAAAAAATTAAAAATTCTCAATAAAATAAAAATAAGCTAAAGCAATGAAAAAAAGGTTTTCAGATAATTCCCTATTTTAGCCGGATATTCTGTGTGTACTCATGAAGTTCCTCCAGCTTACTCAATTGTGCTCAGATGAACCGCGTGTTCCTCAGTAACAGATTTAAATGTTGTTGTCCTCAGTAACAGATTTAAATCTAAAAAGAATTCGTGTCGAGAAATAAGAACAACTAATTGCTCTCTTGTTGTTTGTTTCCTTTTCTTCACCTGTAAAATTCACTTAATTGTAGGCATTAGTCTCAACACCTTCTCCTATATTTTTGTATTTTCTCTTTATTTAATTCAAAGTAAAAATAAATAAAACAATGAAAATAAAACAGTAAAGTGTGGGTTTGCCTACCCATTAGCGCCTTTTTTACGTCACGAGCCTGACGTACCTGATTTACTTTCATGGTGGCTCAAAGCATAAGCTTGGTGATGACCAAGGTCCATCATTCATAAATTGTGTTTTCCCATAGTGCTCGTCTGCATATGGATGAGGTAAAGTAGTCTCAGGAACTTTGAACTTGACTTTTACATGCTTTCCTTCGCTACTAGGTTTCTCCATCTTAACTTTTGGCTTACTTTCTCGAGAAGACTCCTCATTGTGTTCTTCTTCACCTTTCTTTTCACCAATGTAGTAGACTTGATCTTTCGGTTGAGCTACAGATGAGGGGACTTCTTTGTCAAAGAACTTGAAAGTTACTTGCTCTTCGTCTACCCGTAATATCAGCTCGCCTTTTAGCACATCAATAAGTGCTCCTGAAGTTGCCAAGAAGGGTCTTCCAAAAATCATAGGAATTGTGGCATCTTCTTCAATGTCAAGGATGACAAAATCGACAGGAATGATAAATTTGTCTACCTTAACCAATATGTCTTCAATGATACCGTAAGCTTGCTTTGAAGAGCGGTCAGCCAGTTGCACTATCGTCTTTGTGGGCTTCACTTCGGTTATCCCTAGCTTCTTCATCACGGAGAGTGGCATGACATTGATGCTAGCTCCAAGATCACATAAAACATTGTCTACTTCCATCTTGCCTATAGTGCATGGAATGCTGAAGCTCCCTGGATCCTTGACTTTGGTAGGTAACTTCTTTTCGCTGATAGCATTACATTCCTCCGTCAGATTGACTGTCTCATATTCTCGCAACTTACGCTTCCTTGATAATAGATCCTCCATAAACCTTGCGTAGTTGGGCATGTTCTCTAAAGCTTCGGCAAAAAGAATGTTGATCTGTAATTTGCTGAATATGTCTAGAAACTTTGAATATTGCTGCTTCTGAATCTCTTTATTTAATCTCTGAGGATAAGGGATTCGAGTATACGGAGAGAGATCTAATGGCTTGTTTTGTCTTTCTAAAGCTTTCTTCTTCTCCCACTTGAATAGTTTCTTTTCGGCTTTTTCAGGATTGCTTTTGTCAACTTCAATTGTATCCTTTTCCTTTTCTTCTTCATCTGATGCTTCGCCATCCTTCTTCTTTTTTTCGGGCTGTTCCTCTATAGGTTGAATTATTGTCCCACTCCTAGTGGTGATAGCATTGCAATGCTCCCTTGGATTGACAATTGTGTTGCTTGACAAAGCACCCTGAGTTCTTTTAGTGAACTGTCTTGACAGCTGACCAATTTGAGTCTCCAAGTTCCGGATCGAAGCTTCTTGATTCCGGAATGAGGCTCTTGTCTCCTCTCTGAAGGAATTTGAATTCTGAATGTAGTCCGAGGTGGTCTTGGACAGCTGTGCAAATGTTTTTTCCCACTCTGATTGTGGAGGTTGTTGTTGTTGTTGCAATGGCACAGGAGGATTCAGCTGGTAGTTTGACTTGTAACTCAACCCTGGATATTGATTCTGATTCTTCTGATCATACCAGAGTCCATTGACCTCTGCTAGTGGCTTTTCCGCTGCTCTTATATATTCACAATCCTCAGTTGCATGAGCCTCCTGACAAATATCACATTTAATGTTAGCATTAGAAACTGAAGAAACTTGAGAAATGTTAAATTTCTTATTAAGAGCATCTAATTGTTCTTATTGTTTCTTGTGCATTTGTAGCATTTATTCATTCTGGGCTAAGAGTGCATCATAGCCTTCAAGCTTCATGATTCCTGATCTTCTTGGGTCAACTGGGGCTGGAGCATTGTCAAATTCTTGAGATGCTAATGATTTCAACAGTTCAAGTGCTTCCTCAGGAGTTTTTGTTTTCAGGGAGCCTCCTGCAACAGCATTCACTAGTGTTCTTGTGCCGGCTTCAGTTCAAAGTCGTTAGCCTCTATGTTAGGTCTAACAATGCTTGCTGTCTATGGAACTCAAGCTGGGGTCATGTAATCTCCCAACGTCCTTGAAGCGAGTTGATTGTTTCCTGCCATTGGTTCCTCCTTAGGTTCCTCTTTTGGTTCCGTTGAAGTTGATACCTTTGTTTCCTTCGCTTTCTTTGCTTTTGCGTCTTTCCTAAGTTTCCTTTCTGTCTTTTCTAGCTCAGGATCAAACTGCAAGGTTCGCGGGTTAAGAGTACCTCGCATAAACTAAGATTGAAAAGATGTGCAGAAAAATAGAAAAAACACACAACAGAAAAAATAAAACATAAACAAACAAAGAATGCAGAAAAATAAATATGCCGAAAATTGATGCAGAATTTTAATGCAGAAAAATATATTTGAAGAATGTATAAAGTGCAGAAAATTAAAAGTCCAATCTAAAATTTAATTAGCTACTTCTAATGTTGAAGAATTCGATCCCCGGCAACGGCGCCAAAAATTTGATAGCGACACGGCAAGTGCACCTGTCGTAAAGTAATAAAGTGTACCAGAGTACGAGATCGTTCCCACGAGGATCAGAATTTTCAAGCACTAGTTCGGTAATTGCATCTTAGTTAGACAATCAAAAGTTGGGTTTGAGAGAATAGTGAATTTAGATGAAAAGAGTTGTGGTTCAAAGAACTTAAAATTAAAAACAAGTAAAAGCATGCAATATGAAAATTCAGAATTGAAAGAATGAATGAAGATGATGTTTGATTGAAATTTAAACAAGCGTAGTTAAGGTTTTGACTTCCCCCAATATCCTCAATATGTTATGAATAAAAAAGCCAAGAATCCGTTTCTTAATATATTTCCAATCAATTCTATCTGAGTTAATTACGGCTCAATTCCTTGTTACCATAAATCTATGTAATCTTGAAAGAACTCTAGTTCCCCGATTATTCTCCCAAGAAAACATGCATTAAGATCAAGAATTACAAGATTGCATAATTACCATATGTCTATTCCTATTCCTATTCCTAGATAACAAGGATTATGATAAATTATCAAGTCAAGGTTCATGCACCAACATCCCTATTGTCATACAATTCCCCAAAATCATTCTATAAGGAGAAAACTCATAGAAAGCATTAAAGACGGATAATTTATTCAATTATAAAAAGAACAGGATTCAGAAACAATTTAATTCATAAACATAATGGTTCAATTGTGTTTCATCTACCCTTAACTACATAAAAGACTACTCTAGCATACTGAATTGAAAAGAAATAATAAAGAAAAGAGAACCCCAATCCTCCATTGGTGTGATGTTGACTTGGTTCCTCAGTGTTCTAGTGCTCCGCAATAGGATTCCTCCTTGGAGTATGAATAGGGATGAATGAATTGGTGAATGTATTTCTGAATTGTGTATTGGTTTGTGCTCCCAAGCTCCTTATTTATAACCACAGGAGTTGTATCCATCATCCAATCTTCCAATGAATCCATACAAGATTTATATTTGATTTCATCTCTGTTTCCTTTTTCATGTAAAATCTTAGAGATTTGGTTGATGAATTAGAGTTTTAAATCTTCGTTGTATCTTGCTTCAATCTTCTCAAGAATCATCTTGATTTGTTTCCGTTTTAGTTCCATATCCTATCTGAACAAATCTTCTTTAAATCTTCATGGAATCTGTTGCGTATCTTGATCAAATTTTCCTTTGACTCTTCAGCAGCTCTTGGGTTGATTTTTGCTGTTGAATTACTTGTTGATGTCTGTCTTAGCACGTTTTGGCGTCTAGTAGCACGCCAAAACGTGTTGTTCGAAGGGTTTTGGGATGCTTTGTGGACGTTTTAGCGTGAATTAACACGTCAAAACATGATCTTCCAGAGGTGAATCCTTGAATTCTTGCCTTCTTGTGACTTCATCTTCACTTGATGTCTTCGTTTGGTTCCAAATTGCCATAATAAGTGTTAAAAACCTTGTAATTCAACATTACGACAACATGTTAGCAAGATCTCAATTACTGTAACTTTTACAGCATAAAACCCTAATTTCCATGCAATTCACAACATTTATCAATCAGAATTAAGCCTAAAAATATAGTATAATCACTTACTATAATTGTTAGAGCCTCATAATAATTATTAGGGTCAATTATGAAATTATTTCCTAATTCTCATATATAATTAATTAATTTCCTTAATTAACGGTGCGGGTTCTTACAGCCACCGCCGCCGCCTCCATCTAGTGTTCAGGATGAGACCCTGAGTCACATTGGAAGTGCTACTCATGTCACTGGGGTGTTGGAACCCTTTGTGGAGCCTGTTGAGGACCGTGATGCGATTGATCGCCAGCTGAATGCTTTTCGTAAGCATAAGCCACCTACCTTTGATGGATCTTATTATCCTGTTGCAGCGGCGCGATAGCTACAGGCGCTGGACAAGATATTCCGGTTCATGCAGTGTACGGATCCGCAGAAGCTCATGTTCGCTACCTACATGCTGGAGGGCGATGCCCATGAGTGGTGGACGAACACTTCTCATGTCTACGAGATGCAGGGCCATGTGATGACATGGCCATTCTTCGAGGATTGCTTTCTGGGTCAGTATTTCCCTTACGATGCTCAGGAGAGGAAGCAGGGGGAGTTTGACAGGTTGGTTCAGGGCTCGTTGTCTGTTGACGAGTACCTGGCCAAGTTCAACCAGCTGGTGAAGTTTGCACACTTCCGGATGGCGATCCCTACTCCGACATTCTTGGCTGCTAAGTTCTGCAGGAGACTTAGTGAGGATATTGCTGGTTACCTTGCTGGTTCTGCTTCACGAGACTTTGGGACACTGGTTCAGCAGTGTCGGGATATCGAGGACTTCTACGACTCGAGTAAGGCCAAGAGGGCCAAGGTTGCTAAGGCGATGAAGGTAGCTGGTAGTTCCACTACTTGGAGGGACAAGAAGTTTGGGAACAAGGGCAAGGGAAACCAGATGGCGGCTCGGCAAGTGCCGAATCAATTTAAGAGGACTTTTGCTCAGGGGAGTGTAGCAAGACCTCCTGCTCCCAAGTGTTCGAGATGCGGGAAGACTCATTTTGGGCCGTGTTCTACTGGCCAGTTGATTTGCTTTCAGTGTGGCAAGGAGGGCCACTTCTCTCGAGATTGTCTGTCATCGACGGTGAGAGCTACTGTTGTGCAGGCAGTACCACTTCAGATGGTTCCCCTTCCACCTACTTCGAACCCGGCAGTGCCACCGTCTACTGGGCGTGTTTATACTCTGGATCGTCAGCAGTCGGATCGAGCTCCGAACATTGTCAGAGGTACTGTTGTTATTGGTGCATCATCTGTTGATGTTTTGTTTGACTCTGGGGCTACGCATTCTTTTGTTGCAACCCTGATTGCTGTGGGGCTTGAGTTACCCATGTCTGTGCTTTCTCCACCGTTGCGGGTGACCACCGCCACCGGATAAAAGTGTGATTCTACCACTGTACATCAAGATGTCGTGTTTCAATGGGATGGCCATGAGTATTCGGTAGATCTGATAGGATTGCCGATGGCTAACTTGGAGGTTATTCTGGGCATGGATTGGTTGTCCAGGAATTGTGCATTGATTGAATGTTATGCCAAGCGTGTGGTGATGTCTCCGTGTGATTCCACAGCTAGTTCCTCGCCGTACATTTCTTTGCTGTAGGCTAGGAGAGCCTTTAGAGCTGGGGCATTTGGATATGTCATGTTGGGAGGTTTGGTGAGTGGGACATAGGAGGATATCACTGGCATTCCTGTGGAGAGGGAATTCCTCGAGGTGTTTCCTGAGGAGATTCCTGAGTTTCTGCCACATAGGGAGATAGAGTTCTCTATTGATTTGTTGTCTGGTGTGGGGCCTATTTTATTAGCTCCATACCGGATGTCGCCACCGGAGCTGGCAGAGCTGAAGAAGTATATTGAGGATCTTTCAGCGAAAGATTTCATTTGACCGAGTGTGTCTCCTTGGGGAGCACCGGTCATCTTTGTGAAGAAGAAGGACGGGACAATGCGATTGTGCACCGACTACAGGCAGCTGAACAAGGTGACGATCAAGAACAAGTATCCCATTCCTCGGATTGATGATCTGTTGGATCAGCTCAGGGGTGCTTGCGTGTATTCAAAGATTGATCTCCGGTCCGGATACCATCAGCCGGAGGATGTCCTTAAGACCGCATTTCGTTCGAGATATGGTCATTTTGAGTATTTGGCGATTCCATTTGGACTCACCAATGCACCTGCTCTGTTCATGGATTACATGAACAGGATTTTCCAGCCGTACCTGGATCAATTTGTGATCGTCTTCATTGACGATATTTTGATTTACTCCGAGACGGAGGAGGAGCATGTGGAGCATTTGAGAATTGTTCTGCAAGTGCTGAAGGAGAAGAAGCTGTATGCGAAGCTTTCCAAGTATGAGTTTTGGCTCAAGTCTGTGAAGTTCCTTGGGCATGTGATTTCAGCGGAAAAAGTTGCAGTGGATCCGAACAAGATCGAGGCCGTACTGGATTGGGAGAGGCCCAAGACAGTTACGAAAGTGAGGAGCTTTCTGGGTTTGGCAGGTTACTATCAGAGGTTCATCAAGGGTTTCTCCATGATGATTCTCCCTTTGACTCGTCTTACCCGGAAGGAGACTCCATTTGAAGGAGAGACTGACTCCTGCACCTGTGTTGGTCCTTCCTGATCCTGAGCTCGAGATTGAGCTTTACACCGACGTCTCCGGGAAGGGGCTAGGTTGTGTGTTGATGCAGTTGGGCAAAGTGATTGCCTATGCTTCGAGGTAGCTGAAACCTCATGAGGAGAACTACCCTACTCATGACTTGGAGTTGGCTGCTATTGTGTTTGCTTTCAAGATTTGGAGGCATTATCTTTTTGGTTTGAAGTTTGTGGTGTTCAGTGATAACAAGAGTTTGAAGTATCTTTTCGATCATAAGAAGCTGAACATGAGGCAGAGAAGATGGATGGAGTTCCTAAGGATTACGACTTCGAGTTAAAGTACCATCCTGGCAAGGCCAATGTGTAGCTGATGCTTTGAGCCGGAAACCCGGGAGCTCATCCAGTTTGTTACTTGGTTTTCTTGATGTGGTTGACAAGTTCCGAAACCTGGCAGTGACCGCTCTGTGTGGGAGTGTACTTCTCGAGATGGAAGCAACATAAGTTGTGAATGAGCTGTTAGAAAAGATCAAAGAGGCACAAGTTCAGAGAGATTGCCTGGATTATGTGAAGAACCAAGACGGTGTGTCTTGGAATGAAGATGGACTTCTTTTGTTTCAGCAGAGGATCGTGGTTCCTTGAGGTCCGTTGACCGTGAGGTTATGGCAGAGGCCCATAAGGGCCAGTTTCTATCCACCCTGGTGCTACTAAGATGTATCAAGACTTGAAAAAGAATTTCTGGTGGCCGGGCATGAAGAAGGATGTTGCCGTTTTTGTGTGTGAGTGTTTGGTTTGCCAAAAGGTGAAGATCGAGCATCAGAAACCGTCTGGTGAGCTTCAACCTCTTGAAGTACCGCAGTGGAATTGGGAAAGTATTTCCATGGTGGGATTGCCTAAGACTCTGGCGAGTTGTGACTCTATCTGGGTCATTGTGGACAGACTGACGAAGTCTGCCCATTTTCTTCCAGTGAAGGTGAGCTTCACTACAGAGCAGTTGGCCAAGCTTTATGTTCGCGAGATTGTGAGGCTTTACGGGGTGCCCGAGAGTATCATCAGTGATAGGGACCCGAAGTTCACATCTCGGTTCTGGGAGGCGCTGCAGGAGGCTTTTGGTACGCGGTTGAGATTTAGTACCGCCTATCACCCTCAGACTGATGGAGAGACTGAGAGGACCATCCAGACCTTGGAGGACATGTTGCGGGCTTGCACATTGGAGCAGGGCTTGGCATGTGATAAGTACATTCCGTTGGTTGAGTTTTCGTACAACAACAGCTTTCTTGCTAGCCTGGGCATGGCGCCCTACGAAGCATTGTATGGTAGGAGGTGTCGGACTCCTACCTGTTGGTCTGAGGTTGGAGACAGGGAGCTTTTTGGCTTGGACTTTGTCCAAGATACCACCCAGCAGATCCAGATGATCAGAGAAAAGTTGAAGCAGGCGCAGAATCGCCAGAAGAGCTACTATGATGCCAAGCACCGTCCACTGGAGTTCAGTGAGGGTGAGCACGTGTTTGTGAGACTCTAATAATTATTATGAGGCTCTAACAATTATAGTAAGTGATTAAGAATGCTGAAAGTCGCTTTTCGGAAGAAAAATGCAGATACCGGTTCCGCTAGTCGGTATACATGCGTACCGATAAAGTATCCCGAAAAATTATAATAAGTGCATGATAATTCCTAGAATAATATATAGGACTTGTAAAACAAGTTTCAAGTTAAAATAATGAGAAATGGTGCCAGAAACTGATACTGGCTATGAAAAATGCGTACCGGAAAAGTGCTCCGAAAAATCAAATAAAAATATGATAATTCTTGTAAAATTGAGTAGGTTAAGAATCCTGATTTTGGGATTAAAATGCTAAGCGTAGCATTTAAAGTTAATAATGTGTGTTTCAGTGTTAAACCACTATAAATAGGCACACTTGGCCCAAAACCCTAGGCACTCAGCATTTTTTTACGTGAAGGGCTGCTGACCAGTTCTTCTAACACTGTTCCATTGCCTCCTTTCACCATTTTTGGGCTCAAGTTGTCTCCTTTGCTTGGGTTATTCATCTCTGAGCTTGTATACACTTGAGAGTTATCCTTGTGAGGGTGTGAGGGTGCATTTTCTGAGTCCTTGCCACTGTGTGAGTCAGTTTTGAGGGCTGAGTTTGGAGGTTGAATGGTGAAAGCCTTGGTCTTGACATTTTGAGCATCAAAGTGTCACCTTTGTGAAGAAAAGAGTGATCTTGTTGTGCATTTTCGTGACTCTTTGGTTACTGCACAGTGGAGTGGTGTAGGAAGCTCCATTTCCCTTCCTTTTACT